ACTATCAGCGCGCGGCCTAGAGGGTATCCGCATAGGGGTTTCAGCGCGCGGCCTAGAGGGTTTCCGCATGTGGTGCCCAGCGTAGGGCGGGGAGGGCGTGTGCCGGGGACGGGCTAACCAGGGCCCGCGGCGTTTACTAACTCTCCCCGACGACCAACGAGGATGGCTCCCAGGGTAGTCTGGGAGTGAAGGGTGTTCCCTATATCGGTTTTGTTTCAAAGTTAGAACTTACTTTTGGTCAAATGAATGAAACTTGCACAATCAATCACTACATATTACTACTTGTAATGTAGTTGGACATTTAACTGTTAACTGTCGGAGTCTGAGTATGCTAATATGGTATAAAATATTGTCGGTTTAGGCTTACTTTCATAGTGCGCGGTCAAACTTTTGCAAATGAATTTTGTATAAATTTCACATTTGCTTTAAATATGTAATGACAAATACACGAACAGTACTATCTTTTCCGTTTGGAATGTCGCTTTTAAGAGGTATTCAAATTATGTACTTCTCTGTGTTATACTCAAACGTTTGTTGTCTGTGTAGGTGAAATGATTGCTTTCGACAACACCCGGAGCCTACACGGCCGTTCTGCCTACAGTCTGGACAACACCCGGACCCTACACGGCCGTTCTGCCTACAGTCTGGACAGCACCCGGACCCTACACGGCCGTTCTGCCTACAGTCTGGACAGCACCCGAACCCTACACGGCCGTTCTGCCTACAGTCTGGACAGCACCCGGACCCTACACGGCCGTTCTGCCTACAGTCTGGACAGCACACGTCATCTACAGGGCGGCTACTTTGACTGGGACGAGATCTACTCGCGCATGCGCGTTCTCAAGGTCGACCTTGGGATCAAAGACAAGGTCACCTGAAAAATATCCTGAATTTTCTAAGTGTCATTATGTATAATTCTTGCACCTAAAATGGAAAAAAAAATTTATCATTATTTTTTAATAAGGAAGGGAAAAGCGCACATCAGCTTATCCCTCGGCCTTTGTAGCAGACTTTCTGGGATGTATATTGATATGGCTCCTAACCTTATGAACTGTTATTCTAGGCTGCCAGTCGTGAAACAGGCCGGCGTATGTATATATATGATGACTGCTCTGTCAATATGTGGTGTGACGGGACCCCAAAGTCTATGTCTTTGTGTGTGTGTGTGTGTGTGTGTGTGTGTGCGTGCGTGCGTGCGTGCGTGCGTGTGTGTGTATGTGCGTGCGTGCGTGCGTGTGTGTGTGTGTTTGTGTGTGAGCATGTGTCTGCGTGCATGTGTATGTTTGTGTGCGTATGTGTGTGCTTGTTTGTATGTGTGTGTGTGTGTGTGTGTGTGTGTGTGTGTGTGCGAGAGACGATACACATCAAACACACCTCTCTCGTCAGCTGTGAGGAAATCTATTCAATAATCACTTAGGAAGTATACACCATTGTTGGCCAAGTAATCAATCACACTAAGTACACACAACGCAAAACGTTTAAACAAACTTCTGTGGTAAATTGCCCCTTGCATAGTAAGCATACTTGTACATTGTAACGTTTGTTTATTTATTAATTAAATTTTCAAACGACTGGGTAGCCCATTCAATTTCAACAAATCGGTTTTCGATAGGGCCCAGTATACAAACGTTCAAATCGTCAGTATAAACAAAGGCAGTAAGCCTGTGATAAAGATGTAACATAATCGTCTTTTGCAATGGTGTGTTACGCCGAAAGGCGGTTATACCGGCTATACAGATACAGATACAGATAAGTAACACAGAATTGATACATACATAAACACAAATAAAGAAGGTATACATGAACAACTACATGTGTTACATGGAAACAAAGCCAAAATAAAACAAATCAACGTTAGCTTCAATCGATCATACCGTCACGGTCACAAATAGTATTATTGTACATCTTTTGCATCTTTCCGAAGTGACTTTCTACATTCATCATAAACACTATTCATCACTGGTTACTTTACCTTTATGTCATATCTCTGTGTGCCTAAAATTTTCAACAAACATTTCCATTCATAATATCATTCGTGTTTGTAAATGTAAACACATCACTAAAGTCTGATTTCTATGAGTGTCAAGCAGTACACGTGGTTTAGAGTCTACCTTTCATATGTGGTGATCCATGAGGATCCCATATCGTCTAAATTTGCTATTTTTTTCAGTACAATTAGTGAATTTGGAATTTTTAAGATACGTAAGGTATATTTACGAGCTATCAGGCCACAACTGCCCGTAAAGCGACGGTCACAACCCGCCGTACGTGCTTTTTGTCCGTACGTTTTTTGGGAGGCTACGTCTGCTACGTTTTTTCTGAAAACGTGGGAAGAAGTGGCGTCGACGCACGTCACTCGCACTTCAATCGCACGGTTGCGCAAGGTGTAAGAGTGTGGTCTGCACGTTACGTCTGACCGTGAGCGGTTGCGTGCATTTTACGTTGCGCAAGTGGTAAGTGAGCTGTACGTGCTTACAACGTACGATCTCTGTGCGATTGCAACTTTACCGTAAGGAGGCCGTACTCACACGTGCTTCGTCCGCACGGCACGTACGGGGCACGCACGTCGCTCGTACTCGCACGCACGGGTGGTGAATCCGTAGACCGCACGTAGAAAAAGTTTTACATGCCCTTAAAGGTCTACGGCGTGTCTGCGTGCTCCCAAATCCGTAGGATTCCGTACGGAGGCGGTACTCACCGCGCACGGATGCCCTACGTTTGCCCACGTTTTTGCACGTAGACAGCACGCAGAAGCACGTACGGCGGGTTGTGACCGTCGCTTAAGTCGCAGGTGAATTAGAAAGAAGTAAGGGATACTACCTATCCTTCTGTAGACTTCTACTTTGCTGGTGCCGTCCATTGTACCTTTTATATCATTATATATAAAACTTTAAAATCTTCAAATCACTCAAAACTTTATAAAATCGTCGGCAACGAAGCCAAGCTAAGAGATATAAAACAATGAAGCGAATAAAACATGGGAGCTAGCTAAGCCACTTTTAAAACCGAATTACTGGTATTTCTATTGTTCCAAAATGCTTGCTGCTTAGGTCACCTAGTTTTTTTGACATTTTGTGGGTCACTGATTTGTGGATCCAACTCCAATTTTCGTTTCTGAGATACAGACCTGGTACGCGCAGAAACTGGTGTGTCCGCTGGTGCAACCTGCTTCGATTTTGGGCGTTTTCTCAACGGGAACATCACTTTAAAGAATCTTTCCACCTGTGAACTCTCATACACACCTGTTCTACACCAGGTCGCAAAATGCTCGCAATTGTTGCTTATCCAGTTATACCGCGTTTCACCAAGTTTATTTTGAGCCCTTATAACCGTTTCGTCGTGCGTGTAACTCTCATCGGGATCATAATCTAGGCGACGCACCTTATTTTCACTTACATCCGTGGACAAATCTACAGTCTGTCGACGAATTACTGCTTTACCAACGCCCGAGGAGCCACTGCTTTTAACCGTTCCACTCAAAGCATATAGTAATTTATTTCCATATTCAATGACTTTTACTTCAGTGAGATCAGTTGGATTTTCTTCAACAATCATGTGATGCCGGTATGGGAGATGTCTTTTTACCGCAAGGTGGTCCCCCTTTCTTATATCATCTAATTCTTTAACTTGAAATTTTTCAAACTTCACTTCCTGATCCATTTTCCCTCCGACAATGGGACCCTGACAAAAAAAATACATATAGGTAATGTCCTTTTGGGTAATTGTCTGTAACTTTAGTCTGTTATTGTTATGTCGTTACCTGACATTTCGAATGAAAGACCAACTATATAAATTTTTACTGAAAGCAACATATACCATAATGGACGGTCGTTATTTTTCGACATCGTTTAAGAAAGAACTTTTTTCAGTAATTGACGTTTATTAAAATCTTTACGCACCTTTGTTTAAAAATGGCAAGCCTCCGATCCGATTCACTCTTCAATACAGGCAGACGATCTGTGACCCCTTTGTGTTTTAAATCACTGAAAAAAATATATACGATTACTAGTACACGGGAAACGGTCGCGTTATCAAAATAGTAAAAATGTTGAAATAGTCTAGAGAGTAGAGACTAGTATTTTTTTAGCCTGATTTGAATTAAGCTACTCTTGCTCCCTGGTGGTTAGAACAGAAACCTCACAGTCGAAAATGAAAATCGCCCGTGGCTTGCGAAGAAAATTATAAACACAAAGCAACTTCGTCGTCAATCGTCCACCATCATAACTCAAGAAGGAACCCGACCCCCGAAAAGGGTCTGGGCGATCCCGGCCGGGCGGAACGTGGCTTTGGTGTTTTCAAAAGAAAACCTTTCACTCTTACGTGTACTATTTCTGCCAATACACACCTTCCAACAAGTGTCAGGTTTCCTTTTCCGGTAGATTGTCGCCTCGCTACGGGTGACCAGCCAAGGAGTAAGGACCACTGCATAAGACAAGAGAACGAGGGTTCTGTTATAAAAGGTAGCTCAGTTTGGGTGAGAAGAAATCTAGTTCGAACTTACCTGTGTTACGGTTGTGCAGACAAAGACGACAAATCTCACAGTACACCACTCAGGCGTGTACAAATGGCGTGTACAAATGGCGTGTACAAATGGCGCGTACAAATGGCGTGTACACATGGCGCGTACAAATGGCGTGTACAAATATGAACTCTTGAACATTGAACACAATTTATCATGTGACAGCAATGATTAAAGACACCCCAGTGGCTTAGATAAAAGTCCTGACAAATGACGCTTTGAATTGTGTTTCCCTTTCGTCTTCAATACATGTAATGTTACCTACTACAGACCTGTGTGCGTGGTTGTGTTGTTCTTTGAAGCTAGTGATAATGGCAAATCAAAGAATTCTTCTTACCTTTGGCCCGACAACATTTAACCTACTTTTTAATACCTGTGCTACATATACACATACGGTTGCGTATATATGTATATGGTTCTAGAGAAGCAGTCGTTATGGCTGACATGAAAATGGCGGCAAGGTTATGTTAAATACACAATATATGTAGCTTTTGTGTCAACAGGTCTTTGCCTCAAACTTTATCTTTCATTTTCTACCACATCATACCAAGTCTGATCCATCTAGTCAATCTCATTCGCTTAATCACACCTGGCAATATCATCTAAGAAGAAATTTGTCTTTCGTACAGCGGAGGTACTACGTGTTACGTACATTATTTTGCAAAGGTTGTCCGTTCTGATTTGTGTTCCTCTCGCTGGTCGGGTAACAGGATCCTCTTCTACCAGGAAACCGAGTAAAAAAAGTCCACAAGACAAAAAATAAAGGTCTTATATGTATAATCAAATACCATTCAAACTGCAGGCAAAAAAATAACACTTTCTCAAAACTGTAGATTAATTTAAGCCAACTTACCAGTGGTATTCTTGTACAGGTTTTGTTGACCGATCTCCACACCACCCAGTCAAAAATGGCCGACTCGACCAGGACAGGTGTGTGGCATATAACGGTGCACACACAAATTCTTCCGCGTACGTGTTAGTGCGCGGTAAAAAAAAAAGTGAGGAAAATGTGTTGAGGGTCCACGTTTCAGGGTCCATAATCTGCCGAAAAATAATATTAAAAACTAAAATGGCTTACAAGTGTAAGAAATGGTGATTTTGAGGGGTGAAACTTGATTTTCGCTTCGAGCCTTACTTCCGGGTATCCTTCCGCGTCGAAAGTAATGAACCAGACCCAGATTTAGCCTTGTACACGTGGCGTCCTGGGAACCTATTCTCCTGTGGACGATTGAAAAAAAAAACGGGACTAGGATTTTTTTCTTTGTTTTTTTTTTTTACCAAATTAAAGAGGCTGAAGAAGCAAAAACTCAGTTGGCCTTGTAGCTGAAGGGATTTTCTTACACCCCATAGTGACAGTATTTTGCTTCCGAGCTACAATGTATACCCCTGCAGCTTTAAATGGAAACGCGAATAAACTGGAGTGTGCCTCGATAATTTGTTACCTTCGCCAAGGTTTTGTTTTCCGTAACGTTTGTGTGTCTGTCTGTCTGTTCGTATGTATGTATGTATGTTTGTATGTCACGGATCAGCACAATAACTTAAGAAACTTTGACATGAATAAGATACCAATCAAAAAATAAAGCCTGATAAAAAAGCCTAAAACACACACAAAAAAAATGGCTTGGAAAGTACATGTAGTTGGTTCAAGGAGCTATCTTTTATATAACTTCATGGTTGGCTGGTGTTCGGCGAGGTCGGCTACTGTTCGGGTGCGCCAGTTGAATGTTTCGAAGCTTTTTAAAAATTCGGACTTGTACGAGAGGTTCGGCCATGGTTGTCTGGTGTTCGGGAGTTGGTCAGCCCTGTTCGGGGGGTCAAATTTGATTCAAATTTATTTAAGATTCGATTGGCCTGAGTCTGGTCAGACTACTCCCGAACTTCAGGGCTGGGGGAAGGTCCTGAATGTGTGACAGCGACTTTAGGTATGCCATACACGTGTTATCGTAGCCGATGGCAGTAACAGTTTTAAATATACTTGCATGGCTGCCGATGTAGACTTTCTGTTACTGCTGTCTGATTTGATGTATTAGGCTGTATAAGACATATATATATATATATACACAGCCAGGACTGCCCAACTAACCGGAGGCTATTATAAAGGGCTAGCCCTCACAACAAGAACATAAACAATTCGGAACAGGTAGCAGTTAACAGTGTCGGTTACACTTCAGATAAACATACTATTACATAACAGATGTTGCGGTCTAACGTTAACCAGCTATGAGATCTGGCCTAGTCGTCATGCGTTTACTAATTACTCTGTGTACTATATTTACATGTCAGGTTAACATACTATTACATAACAGATGTTGCGGTCTAACGTTAACAGTTTTTGAGATCAGGCCTAGACGTCATGCGTTTATTACTGCTGTTCACGTACGACATGCATTTCATGGAGCAACAAGTTTGACGCACGGTGAACTCATACATGTATGCATGGAGGTAGATTATGTATGTATGTATGTATGCACCCCCTACACACACACAGTGACACACACACACGCACTAACCCTCCCACACACAAACTTTCAATGTAATCCACAACTTCATGTCAAATGAATACAAAGTAACAAAGTCAGCTGGACAAGAAAAAAACAGTAACAAACCGAACCACTTTTAATACTCTCCATTGTACATGATGATACATTTACACTACCCTCAGCCTCTACACAGAGCTGTGCAGACCATATTGAAGATAAATAACAGTTAGGTTGGCAAAATTTCATCCAAATTTGCAGTAATAGAGAAAAAGCATGTCATCAAGGGATGTACAATTGAGACGATTTTTCACAACTGTTACAACTCCAGGGCTTTTGAGGAGAGCCAAGAATGATATGCCACTTTGCAGACGTGTACTTTATTATATTTTCATGTTAAAGTTAAAAAAAGTTTCTCCACTTGGGTTTTTCTGGGACATTGCCCAAAAAGGAATTCTTTCCTACAAATTTTGGAACGAAGATAATCTGATTAAGGAAATTACATATATCATTCTGTTCTACTTCTGACATAAAACTGCTACATTCCCAAAATGTAACATGAAACAGCCTGGTTTGCTTGTCGAAGACACTACTGCATGAGTGTGATGCCACCTTGCAGAAAAGCTGGGAAATGCAGCTTCTAGTCTCACCATCAAACGAGGCAGTTTTGGCTTGCTCCCCTACGCATACCGCAACAATATGTCATCAATTTTGTCTCAGCATTGGGTGTAAGTGTAGTACCATGACATAAAGCATCACGACTAAAACAAATGTACTCATATGAATGCCGGTTTGCTCAACAATTTCTTATTTCACCACATTTTGACATATTCGTAAAAAAGTGATCTTTTACATGTACGATTACAGCTCTAAACCTCTGCTGCTACCCTCTTAATTTGATGACTTAATTACCAGTGTTACATGACTCCATATAGAAGAGGTACAGATTGACTTCATCTTATCCTGCTACAGGGCATTATCATTATCAGTATTGTATATAAGTCAGGCTACTTATCATTCCAGGTCATTATCACACTGGTCTAGGGTATTATTACATGAGTCTAGGGTATTATCACGATATCAACATTGCTAGTTACATGAGACCACATTAAGCTCTAGACCATCACCAGTACAAT